AAGAATACGGTACACATTTTTTTGCCTTATTATCGGGGAGGTCTTATTATCGGGGGGATGCCTTATATTACAACGAGAGGCAAAACTGTAAGTAGGTCTTATTTTCAGGGGATGTCTTATTTTTCAATGAAGAAGAATACGGTACACATTTTTTTGCCTTATTATCGGGGAGGTCTTATTATCGGGGGGATGCCTTATATTACAACGAGAGGCAAAACTGTAAGTAGGCCTTATTTTCGGAGGATGTCTTATTTTCGGGGAAACAGGGTAATACAGCCTGGAGGAAACTGTAACCATTTTGTTCAAATATGATAGACTTATGGAGTTCTTACAGCAGGTAGAAAAATGCCTGAGTCAGAATCCTTAACTGTGGTAAGCTCTGAGAGAAACCTCATACACCATTTCCATCTTATTAGTTGAACAGTCATAAAAGCAATTCCAAATTGCAGTGCAGAGAGGACACTAGAATACTCACTCGCAGCAACTGAGTCATGCTGGGAGGATGCTCATCCTCTGTGTGTTCTCTTTCAGGGGCTGTGTTGTTAACTCCACACATCATGGGCTCCTTCTTCACATCCTCCATTCGATATATAATGTGTTTGAGGCCAGAGGAGGAATCCATCGGCTCAATTCCATATGTGACATTTTCCACTTGCAGCAGTCCCCTAACAATCGGATTAATACGCATTACCACCAAGTAACTACTAGACTAAATCCAGAGGCTGCCGTTATCAAGACGTTTGGGAAGGATGGGGGAGGGAACAACAAACATCTTACAGAAAGAAATATAGAACAAATCTAGGCCCCACTCCTGCAGACACTTGTGCGCTGTGTTTAACTTTAAGCATGCAAGCAGCCTCATGACTTCAGTGGAACAATCCACGTGTGCCATGTTAAGCATATTCATAAGAGTTTGCAGTATCAAGGCCTTAATCATCGACTCTGAAAACAGAAATGTTTCAGTTCAGTTAATGTTGCTATTTACATTTCTGCAACAGCAAAGCAGTAAACAGTGATGTGAATGTCAATAGACAAATCAAGAAAATCCTAAAGGTGCTGAAATTACCTCAGGTCAAAGATTTTTCAAATTAAAGTTGATCATAAAATACTTTAAGTGTCAAGTCTCAGTAAAACTGCTAATCAAGATTTTATTTTAAAACTCCCTAACACTAAGGAATAATTGCATACAATACAAAAATGATCATTTAAATTAACTTTCTATACAAGATTGTAAAAATACTAAGAACTACAGATGCAACAATTTCTGTTGGATTTACTGATGGCTGAACAGTGAAGTCAGTTGTTTTGGAGGGGTGGGGAGGAATTCTGGATTGGAAGTTTTGAGGACAAACGGTAGTCACACCAATCAAATAATTTTGTTTTAATCAAAATATTTGTTAGTTTTGTATCAACAAAAGACTGCAAAAACATGATGGTGTTAATTAAACACAATACTCTCATGCAGCCCAGCACCAACAGATGAAATACAGTTTGGCTCAAAACTAATTAAGTCAACAAGAGAATAAGATTCTGTTTCAGAGAATTGGATTATCACAATGCATAGTTGTGATAACTACATACACAAGAAGAGTTCTGTTACCTGAGTCCAAAGCAAGTGCTGACAGCAACAATAGAATCTGGTATCCCCTCCACATATCCCTGATAGTGGCAGTGTTCCTAAGGGAAAAAATAAAGAAATTAATTATGTATTAGTTCTATACTTACACAATGCAACTGACTACAACTGCTGCTATTGTTCACCTTGCTGCACTAACGTTAGGATGAGATCTCATTCTCTAACCTGAAGAAGTACGTGCATGAGATGGTGCCACACATGTGTTTATCCTCCACACAGGTAAACATGTGGAGTTAATCTAAATACCAGATGCTCTAGGACGCTTGTATTATTATTAAACACAATGAAAGCCAGCCTCCTAGTACTTGCAGGTCCATTTCACAGCCCAACAGGACCAGCAATTCAGCACTACTGAATTGTCTAAGGGACATCTACACTTAAAACACTACAGCGGTGCAGCTGCACCATTGTAGCGCTTCAGTGTAAACACTACGTACAAGTCCCCTGTCAGTGTAGGTAGGGCTTAAATTCAGCTGGAGCTGTCTGGAGCAGAGCTCCGGTAAATATTTTCAACCCCCTGGAGTTTTCCTGGCATGGGGAGGCTCTGGGAAATAGGAAGGGAAGGGAAGGGAAGGGAAGGGAAGGGGAGAGATAGCTCAGTGGTTTGAGCATTGGCCTGCTAAACCCAGGGTTGTGAGTTCAATCCTTGAGGGGGCCATTTGGGGATTTAGTTGGGAATTGGTCCTGCTTTGAGCAGGGGGTTGGATTAGATGACCATCTGAGGTCCCTGATATTCCATGATTCTATGAAATACTCTATGAGAATTTAATCCCTGGGTGTAGGTAATCTACCTCCCCAAGAGGTAGCAGCTAGGTCAATGGAAGAATTCTTCCACTGACCTAGCACAGTCTCCACAGGGACTTTGGTCAGCTTAAATATACCACCCAGGCATATGGATTTTTCACACCCCTGGGCAACATAGTTATGGCAACCTAATTTTCCAGTGCAGACCAGGCCTAAATCCCACCCCATTAGCTCACTTACCTGAACACTAGCAAATATGCTCTTAGGCCTGGCCTACACTAGAAAATTAGGTCAGCATAACTACATCACTCAGGGATGTGAAAAATCTATCCTCTAAGCAGAGTAGTTAAGCCAACCTAAGTCCCTGTGTAGACAGTGCTAGGTTGACGGAAGAATTCTTCTATCAAACTAGATACCACATCTCAGAGAAGTGGATTAGCTACACTGATGGGAGAATCCCACCCGTCTATGGTCCCTAGACCCCTGGGGGTCTGCAGACTAGATCTAACATTTCCAAAGGGGTCCGCACCTTCATTTGAAATTTTTTAGGATTGTGCAAATGAAAAAAAGGTTGAAAACCATTGGTCTACACTGAAAGTCTACAGAGGCTGTAGAGTTTTAAGATTTTACAGGTATGTCTACACTTAAGTCTACTCTCCTAATGTCTGTTCTAATATTAATCAACCAGGCTCTGAAACACCATCTGTGAACAGTCTCTGGACTTGAAGCTGAGCTGTCCAACTTCAATGTTGTTTGTTGTCCCCTTCCCACCCCATCCACAAGAAATATCTTAAGTTCAACCCAGTCGCTGTGAGCCAGTGAGGAGGGCTTAAATTCTCCTCGACTATTTCCAGGCACCAAGGCTCCTGCAGGTTTGAAAATATTTACTGGAGCTCCGCTCCGGTCAGCTCTAACTGAATTTAAGCCCTGCCAGTCAGCCATTCAGCCTTCCAGGAATGAATTTTGCATGATACACTCTTTGGCTTGTGTATAGCCTCTCTCTGGCTAGAGTGAAGTAAACATCTGCTATTATTGCCAATGGACAAACACTCTGTGCTGCCTAAGCATGCCTCGACCAGCCCTGACGAGGCATTGTCAGGAAAACAGAACAATGTGAGATGAAAGCCATTATCCACTCAAGCTTGACTTCCAATGAGATCCCAAGACAAGACACAAAACGATCCATTCTAATGCAGCAATTCCATCCCCTGGGAGCGAAACATGTGGTTTCACAGCCTACTAAATACACAAGATTTACATCACACCCCCAACACAAAAACCCATACAGGGGCATGCCCAACATGCTCTGTACTCGACCTGGCCCTGTTTTGTAAATTATCCTCGGGGGCGAGTACAAGGCAAATGCATTTCATTCTGTGCCACACAGAATGTTCACTGCATTGCATCTGTAGCTCTAAGGTTCTCTAGTAGACATATTTTTGGAGATCACTGTAGTTGTCAGGCGGCTGAAATCATTTGTTCTTTGGCCTCGTGCCTTACAAAGTTCTTAAAGCATGTAATAATCCCCAGAGCAACAGGGCTTGTCACGGCCTCTGGCTGAACTAAAGCCTCACTATAAACACAAACTGTGTTCCTCCTTTGATTCAAATACCTGCCTTTCCATAGAAAGGCAAAGGAGGGAGGGGAAAACCAAAAAACTCAACTGCTCCATTTTCAAGCAAGAGATAGTGTGCATCACACCACACACACAAACAACAGAGCAGACTTTTTTTAAACAAGGGAAGGGTGGATAAAGTAAAATGCGCATATACTTGTTATGACATGAGGCACCATTTGTGTTTGTTCCATGAAACCAGTTAATCATTCTTTGAAAATGTAATGTCTAATGGCCATCTGGTGAAGCAACGGGGGTGGAAGCAGTCCATATGGGAAGAAGAGTTGTGCACACTTTTTCTAGTTAAGTAGTTCTGATTATAATCCATGGACCACTAGTGCTATAGGATCGCAAACATTTAATGATCCAAGCAGTTGGGAGAGGAGTATGGCTAAGAGGGAAACAGTCCATGAAAGTTGTTATATTCTATATCTGGTTTTATACTGCTTCAAAGTGCCATAAAGAGTTATATCTGACAGTCATTAAGGTGAACTGCCAACAGGGTGTTTTGTCCCCCTCGATTGCTCTGACGCATGGCAGACAGGACCAATGCCCTGGAAGGGGAGGTGGCGTTCAGCGAACAATAGAAACATTATGTTGCTCTTGTACTTACAGTATAGAAATATACCAGTATAACCAGAATATAAACAGAAAAGACGCTCAATGGTTAATCAAGACAAGTATTTCCTTTTTTAATTAAAAAATTACAGATTAAAAAAACACACACACACACACACACACACAGGAAAAATCCAGTTTTTTAAATAAAACGTGAGTGCACACCCACCTGCCTGCCCTCCCACCCATCACAGAAAAGTGTGATTTTTCTAGTGTTACGTGCCAGGGGCCAGATTCCCATCTTAAATCTCAAGGCATCTTCCCAGGTTAGGAGTGAAATATGTTGTGCATTTTACAGATTAGAACCTACTCCTTTAGAAGACGCTCCAGTCAGTTTCTTAATACATCACTCTTGAATAATGCAGAATTATGAAGTCCTAATCACCCTGCTTCAACAAGGATACAAAAGAAAGAAAACCCACCTGCATGTCCGGATTTTCAGACTGCAACTTCCCTTCCTCACTGTAGGTATATACTGTGAAATCTTTGGGTAAAAATTCTCTGAAAAAATGGGGGCAGGGGAGGGGAGAAACACAAAAATGTTGATGCAACAAGAAAACAAACAGATCCTCGTCAATAGTGGTAGTATTGAAAAATCTGTATTGAAATAAGGAAACTGATATTAAAACAAAAAAAAAACAACCATGAACCACTGAGGAATTATGCAGTTACTAGGACCTATTCCTCTATGTAACTATACTATGGCAAAACTCAAGGTACTGAGATAGGAGATTTAATGCAAGAATCTACCACCTCCTCAGGGATGAAACACAAAAAGACAAGAGAAAACATCAAAACAGAGCTAAATGCTCACTAGCTGTAAGGCAGGGAATAGAAAAGTGCAGCAGTCAGAGGCCGACTGGCTGCGGCTGGCTTCTCTATCTCCAGTTTTGAAGGAAAGCATATTGGGAAATATTTTTTAAAAGGGTGACCCAGTACTGAATTCAAAGATGGCCAAGCAGCCAGAAAGCAGAGAAGTCAAATCCCCATGCTTTTGAGGACCGGGGATCTGATGAATGACAGCCTGAGACCCCACAGCCTAGTGAGTTTGGCCAAGTTGTCTCTTTTGTTTATTATTACAACATGCTGATTATGAGGAACATCAACTTAAAAAAAAACACTTCTGACTGATTTTAACCTATTGTTGTTACAAGCCTTAAAAATCACTAATCAAGGATTAGAGAAAAAAATATCTCTATGTTCAGTGTGTGTTTACAGCCAGTTTCCTCATTTGCATGGATCTTGACCACAGCAACAAGGGAAAGAATTTAAAAATAAAATTGTAGAAGCCAAAAGGCAGCAGCTAAAAATGGTAGGTGTTTTGTTTGAAGTGAGATGGGTCCTTTTAATCCCTGCCCAGATCCCGCTTCCTGTACTTGAGGTTGATCACCACATCATCAAAGCAGCTCAGAAAAATGTTTAGTTGGTACCCTACTGTGGGGGGATGGGAGGGAGGGAGGGAGAGTTAGTCCACTTTCAACTGTTTCCCTGTACAGGTTTAACAGAGCTAATGTACAAACACACTTTGGACACACCACCTCCAGGACTGAAAACAGCATGTTACCTGGAAACAGCATCCAGGACTGGAAAGATCTAATGCAGTTGATAGGAAGTGAATAATCCCAGGACACGGTTACCAGAAGCCAGAGGGAAAGACGAGTCACTTACTTGTTTTTTTCTAGGTGAATTATGTGTTTCCTTCCCGCTACATGAATAACATATGACATCTTGTCCTGAACACAAAAGAGAGAACACTTACATGTTGTAATAACAAAAATGCTCTCTCAACCATCATCCAAAACCCTGGAGTAAACAGCAACCACATGACCAGTTATTCTAAATGTGCCACTAATGTAGGGTGACCAGACGTCCCGATTTTATCGGGACTGTCCCGATATTTCCTTGTTTGTCCCGCGTCCCGACCGATGTGCGGTCGGGACACTGGACAAACAAGGAAATGCTCCAGAGCCCAGAAGTGCTCGCGCCCCCCTCCCACTCCGACTCCGCCCCCTCCTCCCCCGATTGGCTCCCTCCCCGAATCCCCGCCTCTACCCCAGGCTCACCATTCCTCCTCCCTCCACAAGCGCTGGAGGGAGGCCCGGGAGACGCAGGGGAAGCGCGGGGCTGAGGTGAGTGAGAGTCTGGCCTGGCCCTGAGCAGGCAGGACTCAGTTGGGTGGTAGGGAGAGGAGGGGGGCGGCCCACGGGGCCAGGCAGCGGCTGCTCTCCCCCCCTGGGCAGCGGGACTCA